AGCACCACCCCAATGGGGTCTGGTCACACCATAACTCTTTTTCCCTTCAATTCTCTATTTTGTCAGAATCTTAGGCACATGTGTATACTTGGCATGGCTTGCTCATGGTATATAATCTTTTCTGTTGAGGATTTTACATCTATATTCATTAGAGATATTGATCTGTAGTTTTCTTTTCTTGTGGCTTTTGTCTGGTTTTGGTATTGGGGAAATATTGTCTTCCAAAGGGAGTAACATTCCTACCTCATTTTTTTTTTCCAGAGGTTTTTGCTACAGAGTGAGTGCACTCACCTGAAAGACAGACAGAGCGAGAAATCACCCCCCAGGGGGGATGGCCACGCTGCAATCCCTTCTCCTCCATTCTCCTCTCAGGATCTTGGGCACGCACGCACACGCGCCCGGCATGAGTTTAAGCCACCAGGTCTGGGATTCAAACCACAGTCGACTACATGGGAGTCCAGTGACATAGCCATTATGCCAACTGCTAGTCCCCTATCTCATGTTTTTTAACATTTGTGTAAAGGGTTGATGTTAATTCCTCTTTAAGTACCTTGTAGAATTCTTCAGTAAAGCCATCTCGCCCTGGGCTTTTCTTTGTGAGTTGTTTGTTATTAAGATTAAAGATCATTAAGTCTTTTTACTTGTTACAGACACGTTCAGTTTTTCTTTTTGTTTCTTAGATTTGGTAGTTTGTGTCTTTTGGTAATTTGTGTCTTTCCAGGAATTTGTCCATTTCATCTAGGTTATCTAATTTGTTGGTATATATAGTATTTGTTTATGTTCATAGTATTCCCTTATAGTCTTTTTTATTTTTAAAAAAGGTCACTAGTGACATATCCACTCTTGCATTTCAGATTTTAGAAATTCGAGTGTTCTTTTTTGGGAGCCAGTCTTAAATTTGTTGATTTTTTTATCCTTTCAGAGAACAAATTTCTGGTTTTATTGATTTTCAATGTTGCTTTTCTAGTCTCTATATAGTTTCTTTCTGCTCATTTTGTTTTTATTTCCTTCCTTCTGCTTACATTGGATTACTTTTATTTTTCATTTTTTTATGGTAGACAATGATGTTATTGATTTGAGAATACAAATAATTATAGCTATACGTTTTCTTCCAGTAATTTCTTTTTTTTTTTTTTTTTGAGAGGTTTTTCACTATAGGGCGCGTGCACTTGCCAGACAGACAGAGAGAGACATAGAGACAGAAAGCGAGAAATCACCCCCCAGGGGGGATGGTCATGCCGCAATCCCTTCTCCACCATTCTCCTCTTGGGATCTTGGGCACGCACGCACACACGCCCGGCGTGAGTTTTAAGCCACCGGGTCCGGGACACAAACCGTGGTCGACTATGTGGGAGTCCAGCGATATAGCCATTATGCTAACTGCTGGTTCCCTTCCAGTCATTTCTTGAGTTGCATCTTATATGCTTTAGTATGTCGTATTTTGATGTCCATTCATCCATTCATCCCAAACTATTTTCCAAGATCTTTTGTGGTTTCTTCTTTGACCCATTGGTTATCAAGAATTGTGTTATTTTATTTCCTCATATTTGTAAATTTCCCAAATTTCTTTCTGTTATTAATTTCTAATGTATTTTCTTTGTGTTCAGAAGAAATACTTTGTATGATTTAGATTTTTAAAAATCTACTGAGGCTCATATTATGGCCTACTATAGGGTCTATTGTGGAAAATGTTCCATATGTATTCTAGAAGAATGTATATTGTACTGTTTTCAAATGGCCTGTTTTATACATTTCTGTTAGATCTAGTTGATTTAGAGTACTGTTTAAGTTTTCTATATCCTTAGTCAGCTAACTATGCTAGCACATTTTTTTAATTATCTTTTTCTATAGAATTGTAATATATGTTTCATAAATAAGGAAACTTCAAAAATTTTCTGGAGAAAATGGAATTACAGTATGAGTTTATTTATTGATTTATTTATTTTAAATTTTTTTGAGAAGTTTTTGCTATAGGGCGGGCGCATGTGCTCACCAGACAGGCAGAGAGAGACAGAGAGATAAAAAATGAGAAATCATCCCCCAGGGGGGATGGCCACCCTGCAAACCCTTCTCCTCCATTCTCCTCTTGGGATCTTGGGCATAAACACACATGCGCCCGGCGTGAGTTTTAAGCCACCGGGTCTGGGGCGCAAACCACAGTCGGCTACATGGGAGTCCAGCAACATAGCCATTACACCAACTGCTGGTCCCTAGTATGAGTTTATTTTAGTACAAAATTTTTGTAATCCATACATGGTTTTACACAATATACAGTTTCCATGAATTTATTGGAGGTGCCTTGAATTTTGTCCATAAATATAGTTATGACGATATGTGGTATAGCAATTTCCTCTTTATTTTCCATCTTTTACAAATAATTGCTTATGTGAACCTTTGGAATCAAAAAGAAAACAATATTTGTGATCCTTTTAAAATTTAATGAAATGAGCATATGTGTTTTTACATATGCATATATTCATCATCTGGTAACATGCATATGTGTATTTAGGTAATTCATTTGAAATGGAAACTTGTGAGTGCTAGCATGACACCTTAATATAAAACAGAACAAGATGAGTTATGTAACTTTCACCTAATGACTGTTCTCTTACCATAGGGTGAGTGCGATTGAGAGCAGCGCCATCAGGATATTAAAAGAGAGAATGATTTCACGAAAAACCGACCTCATTCGTGCTTTCCAAAGTCATGATGTCAGAAAAACAGGTAAAATATTACATATTATTATATCTTTTTAACATACCAGGTTACATACAGATCATTTTTCATTTTCTTTGCTTCCTTAGCATTTTAGTTCTCCATTTTTGCTAGAAAGAAATGATAGAGATAAAAATAAAATGTAATCCATTATTCATATTTTAAAAAGGCTTATTTCTCCTTTTCATTAAGCTTCTTTTGACATAAAAAACAGCAATAAATCTAAATTAGGCTTCTATTATGGTTGTATGTCAGACTAGATACTCTAGAGGGTCCTCCTGTTTCCTAGCCACGTAGGTAAATCTGCTGGCTACATCTCTGTCCTCCATGAGAAATGGTTTGAAATCACATATGGAATTATAGAGCAACAAGCAAGCACAAAAGGTTGGATTGTCCTGGGGGCAAATGCTTATACCAGTATAGCAATCAGTCCTGAACCTAAACTGTAGTATAGTAGAAAGATAGGAAGGTTGATTTTGAGACTTCCTCATTAAGCCAGACTCCCAAAGGACCCAAAGTAGTCTTAAGTCTGTAATACTTCCTGACTCCTGGCAAGCACATGCAAATCCATCTTCAAGGCAAGAATCCCTAATATTGGCCATTAGTATATCCAGAGATTAAGCTCTCCCAACATGAGCTCACAACCAAAGATTACCAAACAAACAAGGAGATAAGCTATTATGAGTGAGAAATGGCAAAATCAAAACCAACAGATTTAGTTCTTCAAGGACATAGATATTGGAGTTATCAAATACAGAATATGAGATAACTAATTAAGAAATATTTAAAGAAATAAAAGGTAGAATCACAAAAGTGCATTAGAAAATTATTTGAGGGCCAGCCCTGTAGCTCAATGGTTAAGGGAAGCCGTATCTCATATCTGACTACAGTTGGAATCCTAGCCCTGAGAAGCTTGAAAAACATGCCAGGCATGTGTGCATGCATACCCCAAATCCTGACAGGATGGAGAAATAGAAGAGAAGGGATTGCAACACAACCATGTCCCACTCAGGGGTGCTTTTCTCCTTTCCCGCTTTCTCTCTGAATCTCCATCTCTCTATTTCTCTCTCTCTCTCTGGTAAGTACACACACCTGGCAATTAAAAACTAAATACATTTTTAAAAAGAGAATGATGTGAAGAAGACCCAAACAGATGTAAAAACATACTTGTTAAAGAAAAACATAATGAATGGGTTAAACAGAAGATTAGATATTATTCAAGACAGAATTAGAGATTAAGAGTTATAAACAATGGGACCAGCAGGTGGTGTGGTGGTTAAGGTGCTGGACATTCCCACATGGCTGACCTCAGTTCGAGTCCTGGACTTGGTCTCTTGTTTTCTCACTTTCCTTCTCTCTCTCTCTCAGTCTCTCTCTGGTCAAATTAAAATAAATACAAATTAAATATTTTTTTTAAAAAAAGAGTTATAAACAATGGGGCCAGCAGGTGACATGATGGTTAAGGTGCTGGACTCCCACATGGCCGACCACAATTCAAGTCCCAGTCCTGGCAGCTTGCTCTCTCATTTTCCTTCTCTCTCTCTCTGTCTCTGGTGAGCACATGTGCCCTGTAGCAAATTTAAAAATAATAATAAATAAAATGTAAAAGAAAGACATTTCTTTTAAGAAAGTTAAAAAGGGGGCCAGCAGGTGGTGTGGTGGTCAGGGATGCTGGTCTCCCACATGGGTGATTGCGGTTCGAGTCCCGGATCTGGCAGATTGCTTTCTCACTTTCTCTCCCTCTCTCTCTCTCTCTCTTTTTTTATTTGTTTCTCTCTCTCTCTCTCTCTCTCTCTCTTGATCGATCCCTCTCTGGTCAAATTAAAAATAAATAAAGTGAAAAAAAAAGTAAAACAGTAAAATGAGAAGGTCTAATATACATCTAAGTAGTGTACCAAAGGGTAGAGAGTAAAGAGAATGTACAAGAGGATGTATTTGCCATGATAATGCCTGAGACTTTTTCAGAATTCCTGAAAGACTTAAGTTCATAGGTAAACAGGAACAATGATTCCCAAGCAGGATAATATAATTAAATCAACAATGACACACTCTTAACATAGTTAACTCTATATATGTGGTGAGACTACGGAACACCAATAACAAAGAGAACATTTTAAAAGCAGGCAAAGAAGCAAACATTGCCACAAAGACACAACATCCTGATTGACTTATCAGTACGTCAAAAGAAGCCAGTAGAGAGTGGTATTATGTACATAAAACATTAGAAGTTAAATTTAGGGGATCAGAGAGTGGTGCGGCAGTAAAACACTACACTCTACAAGGCAATCCCACGTGGGAAGATTCCCAGTTCAAGTGCAGAGACCTCCCTGAATACCCAGAGTACACCTGATCCAAGACTGGCTGAAGGCGAGGGGAGGATCTTGGCACCAAGCCCCTGAGGGGGGTGTTATCTCTCTTTCTCTTTTTTGCCCTTTCTCTCTCTAAATAAATAAATATAGGAAAAAAGTTAAACTTAGAAAATGGTATACCATGAAAACATAAACAAAAACAACTTCTTTATTGATATCAAAGAAGACTCTGAAGAAATGTCTATTTCCAGAAATAAAAAGAGTTACTTTCTAATCATAAAATATTGTTTGCCAATGGAGTCCATTCTAAATATGTATGTACCTATTAATATAGCCTCAAAAATATGTAAAATAAAAATTGACAGAACAAGAAGTAGAAAAACCCACCATCATAAATGGGAACTAAAAGAACAAACAGACAAAAGATTAGCAAACTATCCATATAAGACATATAAAACTCAGGACCAACAGGTGGTATAGTGGTTAAGGCACTAGACTCCCGCATGGCCAACATGGTTCAGGTCTCAGACTGGGCAGCTTGAAAATCACGCCAGACACATGCGTGTGTGTGCCCAAAATCCCAGGAGGAGAATGGAAGGGAAGGGATTGACATGGTCATGCCCCCAGAGGGGTGATTTCCCTCTCATTATCTCTCTCTAATGAGCACATGTGTCCTATGGCACCTCAATACCCTACATTTAAGAATACATATTCTTGGGGCCAACAGGTGGCATGCAGGTTAAGGTGCTAGACTCCCACATGGCTGACTGTGGTACAAGCCCCATACCTGGCAGTTTGAAAATCTTGCTGGGTGCCCTGTGTGTGTGTGTGTGTACACCCCAAATCCCAGGAAAATAATGGAGGAGAATTGGGGCCAGTAGGTGGCTTGGCAGTTAAAGGTGCTAGATTTCCACATGGCTGACTGTGGTTCAAGTCCTGGACCTGGTGGCTTGCTTTCTCCCTTCCCCTTTCTCTCTCTCTTGCTGTCTCTGTCTAGTCAAATTAAAAATAGTAATAACAAATGGAATTAAATAAATAAATCTTTTTTTAGAAAAAAGGCATGGAAGGAAAAGGGATTATGGCGTGGTTATCCCCACTGGGAGGTGATTTCTCACTTTCCCTCTCACTGTCTCTCTCCAGTGAGTACACATACCCTAATACAAAAAAACCTAAAAAACTGAAAAATAAAAAATAAAATGCATGTTCTTGTTGAGTACAAGTATAACACAAAAATTGGCCATAAACGTGAACATAAACAAATCTCAACAGATTTTGAAGAATTGGAAGCATTACAGGATTAATGCTTGACACAGAGAATTGAGCTACAACTCAGTAACATAAGATGGCCCTGAAACTCCCCTTTGGTTTGGAAATGAGAAAGACATTAGTAATCCCTGGATCAAAGAAGAAATCTGATTGAAAATTAAAATATCAAACCTGAATGATAATGAAAATGCAAATTATTAAAACTAATGGAATACAAATTAGAGAGGCATTGATAACCTTATCATTTTAAAAAATGAAACTATGACCAACTAAGTAAAAAAAAAAAAGTTCTTCAAAGAAAGTGGAAAAGTTGATAGAGGAAAACCTGGCGAGAGAGAGCATGCACGTACACAAATAACCAATGCCAGGATCGAAAGGGCGGCTATTATTACAGACTTTACAAACATTGAAAAGCTGATGAGGGACCAGCTCAGTAGCACAGCAGTAATACACTGCTCAAGCGAAGCTGGATCCATATGGAAGATTGCAAGTTTGCTTCCCCGATTAGCCTGTACACATCGGGCATAGGCACCTGTGACCCGGCTGTCTGGGAAGGCAGATGGAGGATCAAAGGTAGAACCCTATTGAGGGTGTGTACTTTTCTTTTTCTCTCACTCTCATGAAAGAAAGGATAAAACTTTTTAAAAAGTAATAGGATTTATTATCGAAACTATGATGCCAACAACTTAAAACTTTGTACCAAATGGACAAATATCTAAAATATATTTGTGAACACAAACACAGACACAAAAATAAATAGAAAATCTGAACGAGTATACAACTGTTAAAGAAATTGGATCTGAGGGAACCAGCAGTTACCGTAACGGCTATGTCGCTGGATTCCCATGTAGTCGACGGCGGTTCGCATCCCAGACCCGGTGGCTTAGAACTCAAGCTGGGCACATGTGCATGCGTGCCCAAGATCCCGAGAGGAGAATGGAGGAGAAGGGATTGCGGTGTGACCATCCCCCTGGGGGGTGATTTCTTGCTTTTTGTCTCTATGTCTCTCTCTGTCTGTCTGGCAAGTGCACGTGCCCTATAGCGAAAACCTCTCAAAAAAAAAAAAGAAATTGGATCTGAAAATTGAGAACTTTCCACAAACAAAGCTCTGTATTCAGATAGCCTCATTAGCTATTATAATATTATAATATACATTTGAGAAAGACATAAAAACAGTCTTACTCCAAGTCTTCCAGATAATAGAAATAGAACATTGCCCAGACTATTTTAGGTGGTCATCATAACCTCAATACCAAAACCTAACAAGAATGCTGTGAAAAAGGAACATTAAAAGCTAATCTCATTCATAAATTTAGATGAAAAAATACTAAAGGAAATATTAGTAAAAGAGTAATATATCATAATCAAATTTGGTTTATTCTAGGAATGC